TGCGATCGGGGATGAAGTAGAAACCTCCTAGAACTCCAGAGTGTCCAGTCCCTAAGTTGATCAACCAATCGGTTTCCCTGAGTCTAATAGCCGTTCGCGCCACGACAACTCTGCCTGCAACGTCGACAGGCGCTTCGTTTAGCATTGCGCTCAGTGCTAATGTGGGGGCGGTTCGCAGCGCCCCACTAATACCAATTAAAGCAGCCGTTGTACGCGCTCCAACCGCCTAGCTAGTATAGCATTTTCCAGTCAGTTCCACCAGACTAGGGCCCCATAGAACATAATTGACTTGACTACGGTCTCGTATAACCAATAGACAACTTTAGGGGAGATGCCCCATCTCTTACTAGCTCCCCTAATGCAATATAAGGCCACTGATGCCTTTCTTGCCCTTTCCTCGATGTTTGGTACCCACGACAACTTCCTGTCCAGGATCAAGCCCAATTACTAGACCCTGTCAGATAGCTGTAAGCGCAGACCTCCAACCGAGGGAAGAGCAGCGGGGATTTTATATTTTTTTGTGAATAAGACCAGCTCTGTCTTACTGCGGTTTACGGCAAGACCACTTTTGGCCGTTCAGTTAGTAAATATGTTAAAGTACCGTTGGGTCAGTTTATACAGAGTGTACCTTTATCTAGGAGCGCCACATCGTCTGCATAGGCAATTACCCGACAGACGTGTTTCTCCAGCTCCACTAGTAGCTCATTCACCACGTTGACCCAGAGAAGGGGTGAGAGAACCCCTCCCTGCGGGGCGCCACTGCTCACCATGCGAGACAAGCAGGCGCTGCCCCAGACGGCCATGACAGTTCTGTCACGCAGCAAGCTTTCGATGAGCCTAATGGGACTGACCTCAACCCCAAGCTTATTTAGCGACTTAACTATTGCGTCCGGCAGGACATTATTAAAAGCCCCCTCGATATCGAGGAAGGCTCCTACGGCAAAGTCCTTGTGAGTGAAGGCTTCCTCTATACACCTCACAATTGTATGCAGAGCAGCATCGACTGACCGTCCTTTACAGTAAGCATGCTGAGCTCTAGACAGGCGATCCCGAGGAATTATGCTCCTTATGTGCATATCAACCAGCCTCTCCAACATCTTCAGCAGAAACGATGAAAGACTGATTTGCCTAAAGTCCTTGGGGGCAACATGAGAGCTCCTCCGGCCTTCGGGATGAACACAACCTTGACGACCCACCAACCCCTGGGAATGTACCCGTATCTAACGCAGCTCGCGTAGATTGGGGCCAACCAACGGCACGATACCTCCGCCGCATTTTGCAGATGCGCAGGTATGATGCCCTCAGGTCCTGGGGATTTAAAGAGTTCGAACGAATTGAAGAGGTCAGAAACAGCAGCACAGTCTTCACAGACTTCCCCTAAGGAGATCTCCTCAGGGGAGGGATCGGAAGGAAAGTTAGTGTCCAGGAGAAACCTAAGCGACTCCTCGCCACTCATAGTCCAGTGACCTGCCTCATCCCTCAAGTAACCCAGCGGAGCAGGACTCCTAGCGAGAATACGCTTAAATCTCGAAGATTCATGACACCCTTCAACTTTTTCGCAGAAAGACCTCCATGAAATCTTTTTTGCCGTTCTTATTTCGGACTTGCAGATTCCTAGTCCAACCTTATAGAGTTCCCAATCAGAAGAGAACTTACTCCTACGGGCCCTATTGAAAAGTCGTCTGCTCGACGCTCTTAACTCAGAGAGCAGTCCACCAAAGGGGGTTCCCCCTACCTTTCTGAAATCTCAGCGGACATGCGCTTTCAAGAGCTTCCCTGCACGAAGAGCTGAAAACTTCAACAAGCTCCTCGAGCGAATCTACCGACTGCACAGAATTTGGTTCTGGCGCATCAGGGAGCACTCCGCGAAGGTTCCTGTTATGCAGATCCCAGTTCATGCTCCTAAGGTTCCTGAAGGGCTTGCTATGTGGACGCGTTTCGTCCAAAGAGAATAGAATGTCCATTGATCCGAAAAAGAGTGTTCGCTCAGAACCCTCCAATCCGAGGTCAGAGGTGCTGTCTCAGATGAAGCCAGTGTGAGGTCAAGAACCTCCTCCCTGGCAGCAGTTATAAACGTAGGGGAATTACCCCTGTTACAGATATGTAAGTTTTCACTCAGAATAAATTCAAAAAGTGACTCACCTCTCAAGTTTGTATCCGAGATGCCCCAAACAGAGTGCCTCGAGTTCGCACCGGACCCCAAGATCACGCCAGCTTTCCGTCGCTTAGCTGCCGCTAGAGAGCTCCTCAGCAGCCTTGGAGGTGGCTCCACCTCGTCATCGTGCGGCATGTAGGCGGATATGAGCCAGAGTTCTCCAGCCTCTCGTTCCAGCCTAATTGTAACCACATCCTCATTGCTGAAATTATGCAAAATAAAAGCTTTTAGTTTACCTCTGATAAGCATACAGGCCCTAGTTCTACCTACGTTGTTCGCCGCTATCAGCTTGTGGTTCCTTGTTCTGATTCCAGAGATACCATTACTGCTCAGCCATGGCTCCTGTATCAGAACCACGTCAGCCCCACCTTACTCAAGGTGGAGCAAAAGATTGGCGGATGCCGCCTTGGAATGTTGGAGATTAATCTGCAGAACCTTCATTCTTCAGAATATCCTCCATGAGCGCTAGTTCCGCGCTCTCACCGCGGACATCGACCCCACCGAACAGCTTCTCGAGACTGAAGATGGACGTCCCGGCAGAGGAGCCGCCCCCAATACTCTCAGCATCCGATTGAGCCGAGTCTCCCAACTCCATGCTGGCGGAGTCAATGGCCTCTCTTCCTCCCACCGAAGTTGCTGGAGGCAGAGGGTCATCTGCTTTGGCTTCGGTCGGTATAATCCGTACAACCACCTTTTCGAAGCCATAGTATATGACCCCCTTTGTATCGCCGAGAGCACCGAGGGACTCTGCATTAAGCAGTATCAGCGCTTGCCGATAAGATTCCTCGGTCATCCCCAGTTATATAACCCTCCAGTTATGCGTCGGGAGAGGTGGATTGCAGTACTCCTTCGATCTCCTCTGGAGAGGAAAGCTCAGTAGGGAGCCATACCCGAACCTGTGGACGCATCGGAAGATCCGCTTTGTCCACGGCCACTAGATCGGCACCCTTCCAAACCTCCTCCACCAGGGAGACTGTATAAGGCTGCCGACGGCTCATCGGCGCACCTCGTGAGCTTATGCAGCCCATGGTGCCAACGGGCACTCTCACACCTAGGTGGTGGCCCTGGATTCCCCCTGACCACCCTCATGTGCGCCATCGGCTACCTTCCCCTGGGCAGATGTCGTAGCCTCCGCATCGGTAGGTTACAAAAAATAATGTTCCGGACGAGGCCGGTCTTTATTTGTTGATATGAGCTTAACAACTAAACCTACAAATTCTCTTAATTCTAAAGCTAAACCTAAAAGTTAAGCCCGAGTGCTGTCAACGTGACAGGTATTTTGCTGATTAAGCGTTTCCCACAGAAAAGCCAGTCGCTGCTCTGGAATCTGTTGCCCAACTTTTTGGTTGCACATGTAAGGTGTTGTATTACCATCTTCTTTATGTTGAGTTGCATGAAGTGCTGAGCTGCGCATGTTGGGTGTTTGGTTACCGTCATTCTTATGTGGAGTTATGGGAAGTATTGCGTTAGCTCCTCCCTCCTCAAGTGCGGACGTCCCCGGTCGCATATTCGCAGATTCTGGAGTACTAGGGGCACTTGGTTTATTGCATTTCCCTTGAGGGTCCTTCGGCGTCCTTCTTTCGGAAATTTTAAAGGCGAGTAGTATGATAGCTATTACCATAGATATAATGAGTGCAGTATTAGAGGTATTGATTTTATTGATCGTCTCCAGTTTCTTCGTATTTTGTATTTGGAGGTCCTTCATCATATGCAAGGATAGTATTTGTTCAAAGGGTGTTTTTGGATTTGGCTGTTCTAAAACGGCTGGAAGAGGTTGCAAATTGCTCATTTCATGCACGTAGAAATTTTTGTTTTGTACTTTGATGGCAGAGTTGTGGTGTTGAATTATAAATGTTCCATTAAGATCAATTGATTTTCCATCTATATCGATTAAACCATTGTAATCGTTCAAGAAAAGTATTCCAGGTTGTAACTCTTCTAGGCTGCTAATGTGGTCGGCGTTGACAAGCGTACAATTTGGGCGTTTACATTTATAAGATTGCTAATACAACTATTATTAATTATTTCTCTAAAATCTTTTTTAATGCAAATTGTTATTTTATTATATCCTCTACATTCATTTTTGAGTCCGTACAATTTCGATTTACATTTTAAAATTTTCTCGTAATCAATTATATTTCCCTTTTTCACTCCTTTGAGTATAATTTTTTCACAAGTCTCTTGTTAGTGGTAGGTAAGCTTAAAATATAAATCATAGATGAACAATTTGAAGCTATTCTAATATCGGTAATTTCTTCTTTTCCAATAATTTTTTCAATTAAACTTATCTCTAGATTTGATAATATAAATGAATTTACAATATTTGATT